GAGGGAAAACAAATGAAAAAAAAACATACAGCCGAATTGGGTACCGTCTCCTTTTTGAAGTCGGTAGAAAAAGGGAAAAAATTAGATACTTCTACTGCTACGTCACCATGTCACCGTGATAGTGTTAGTTTGAAGAGCGATTTATATCATTATTTATATTACACTTAATATTAGTGCAAAAGGGGGTTATGGCTTCTTTTTAGAGATCTATTATTATTATAATCAAAGGTTATGATGTATCTACGTTTTTAGGGATGACGAAGCTGCTGTAAAGTTCTTTGTTAGAAGTTAGTTTCAGGTATATATAACTTCAACCCCTCCCCCATTTACATATGCCCTTAGAGCTGGAATTTTATCTCATAATTTATAATAAAATTGCAAAAATATACATAATAATCATTAAAATGGGACAACCGTGTAGTGGCGGTGTAAGAATATACACTACCCCATATCGTTCTGTGGGTGCCGTAAGAGGCGAAGGTGAATTGAAACAGGACATTGGCAGCAGCATCTCTCAATAATAACTCAAAATAATAACCAAAACTGTTGTTGCCAACCCGACGAGTGAGTCAACTATGGAAGAGGCTTATGGTAAGCAATGGAATTTTATAGGTTGTAATGGATAATAGAAAATTGGTTTGCAATTAACGAATATATCGCGTCAAATTGAGATTGTCCTCCTTTTTAAAGTCCGCTAAAAATTAGTGCCGAACGTGTCTCGCCAAACAGTCTCTACTCACGCCTTCTACATGTGAAGATCAGTTTCCTTATTCGTGTGACGTTCTGTTATTCTCCTTCAAGGTCGCCATCAACTGTGAAGAAGATTATAAGCCGTGGCATCACAGTCGCTAAGTGCTCGCATTTAATCACACAGCATGCGCGCAAGCCTGGTTCGAGCCTTTACGACACAAATGAAATCGTAAATTGCAATTTTAAATGCTGATTTACTGTACTTAGCGGTGAAGAGAATCATTAGTGAGCATGTAAAGTCCGCCAATATGTTCTGCAGCAGCGTGGCGGATTCGCAGCTCGTATATTTGCGAATGTATATTAACCGTGTAGTGGTGTAAAAATGTTCACTACCTCCATATCGTCCCGTAGGTGTCGTAGGAAGCGACAGAGCGTCGTAGGGGGTGAACAAACCAGAAGAATGGCATCAGCGTCTTTCTAATGGCAACTAGAAAATAAAACACTGTGATTGCCAACCCTACGGTCAAACGTGGCAACTATAGAAAATATTCTTTTATGAGGCAAATTATGGGCAGACCTATGTTAAGCAGTGGACTTTGATAGGCTATAATTAATGAATTAATAATGGATTAATAGGATATTTACTGTAGTATAAGCAAAAATTAGTGTAATCGCTAACACGAAACACAATTTTATACATGTAGAGCCATCTTGGAGGTATATTATGGATTTAGCACGAATGGGTCGGCTAGACCGGGGAGGGACCACGCTCTCACAGAATGACAGCGTTAAATAGCAGCTCAACGCTGCTGTGTCTCGTATAGTGACTGTAGGGAACCGAAGATCTTTTTTACGGGAAACGAGACATTCCATCTTAGCACTCAGGGGTAACAAATCTGCATTTTGATTCTTAATCGAGGATAGATGTAGATTTCTATAGGCTACGGCGTCCACTTACTAGTCACTTACTAGTATCTAGTGAAGATTGTGCTCACTTGTCCCCCATATTCTAGAAAAATACACAATCACAGTCGATAGTTAAAATCTGCACTGTCCAATACATAGTTCGTCAGAAACTCAAACACAAATATACCACAATAGTTAGTATTTCTTCAAAAATGTTTAATTCAGCATGTTTCGAACATACAATCTACGATTCAGTACAACAGTAGCCAGTTTCTCTGACTCATACGCGACGCCAACGTCATGTTTCAAATATGTCATAAATGTCTCATTCCCGAAATCGTATCATGTCAATCGACTGGCTCCGAAGTAATGCGGTGTTGGGTTCGACCTTCACCTCTTGGTGCATTGTATCCGTTTAATTATGACCTACAGCCCGCGGCAATTTGTATGTCACCCAGGCGCAAAATACACGCCGCAGATACAGTATAAAAAGTGTCGCAGGTCGCAAAACAATATAGTTCAACTTCAACAATTCAAGTTACAACAATGGCAGCCAAGGTATTATTAAACTTTGTATACATTTTAAGTTGCTTTAAACGCTATAATTTTCTTAGAAACCACTTTGATTGTTTTTGTACCTACGTCTATTTTCTACGAACATCCGATCACCTGCCAAGCGTGATGTTTACCCCAAATCTTCGCTGCTATTAGAACAGAAAAGAATAGAATGATTTTTATTCAATATTGATTATTACATAATACTTATTGAAAATTATTTTTTTATTTACCACTGGTTCGGACAATACCTCTGTCCTGGGAAGAATCAGCAAGAAACTTTTTTAAACATAATTTCACTTAACAATAATTTTGTTTATACAATTTTAAATGAATTTTCATAGAATCAGCATGGTGGCGATCACCTTATTCCCATGGGTTATTTCCATTCATGTATTCCTTGATATTATAAGAACCCTTTTTGTACAGTTTTTCTTTAATAAAACTTTTAAAGTTGTTTATTGACAAACTTTGAACATGCTCTGGGATTTTGTTGTAAAAGCGCATACATTGCCCCATAAATGAATTACTAATTCTGTGGAGTCTAGTAACTGGCATTACAAGCTTATGTTTGTTCCTAGTGTTTAAGGTATGAACATCCTTATTCTTATTAAAGCTATTTATGTTTTTATGTACATACATTACATTTTCATAAATATATTGCGATGCCAAAGTTAATATGTTTATTTCTTTAAATTTTTCTCTGAGGGAGTCTTTACAATTTAGATTATAAATCGCCCGTACGGCTCTCTTTTGCAAAACAAATATAGCGTCAATATCAGTCGCATTACCCCATAGCAAAATTCCATAAGACATTACGCTATGAAAGTAACTAAAATACACTAACCTAGCTGTCTCAACATCTGTGAGACTTCTAATCTTTCTTACAGAATATGCTGCAGAACTAAGTCTGCTTGCTAATTTAGATATATGGGGGCCCCATTGACGTTCAACGACGCGTCAATAGAAAAACAATGGTATCCACAAGACTCAACTCCTCCCCATTTAAGAGCATATTGGTTTTCGAATGTTTTACGTTAGGTATTGTAAATTTAATACATTTTGTCTTATTGCCGTTTAAGAGCAAATTGTTGGCGTTAAACCAATGTTCTAATTTCGATAGAGCATTATTTACATCGTCATAATTAATTGACTGCCGTTTGAATTTGAAAATTAAAGAGAAAATTAAAGAAGCCCACATTCTAAAGTCGGTAACTATGTAAAGGCTAATGAAGAAAAAATACTACGCGTTTTAATTATCGACTTTCACTTTAACGTTTGTATGACAAGTGCTTACCATATGAATACAGGTATTTTTTTATTTAATTTTTATGTGAGCCATTCTCCCCACTGACCACTAAGCCACACTGCAGCTATATTATGGTTGTAGCACGAATGGATCGGCTCGGCCGGGGTAGGACCACGCTCTCACAGAATACCAGCGTAAAATAGCAACTTAACGCTGCTGTGTTTCGTATGGTGAGTGTAGAGAACCAGAGACCCCTTTTACTGGAAACGAGGCATTCCGTCTTAGTCCTCAGGGGTGACAACGCATCTGCTTTTGATTCTTAATCGAGCATAAATGTAGATGTCACAGCATCCATTTACCATCAGGTGGACTGTGTGCTCGTTTGTCACCCTTATTCTATAAAAATATATACTTTTATGTCATTGGTTTCTCGGAAACGACTTTTGCAATCTGCTTGAAATCTTGTATTTAAGTACAGGGGTGTCACTTCCACTATGGAAGGTATGGAGCACTCCATACCTCAAGTTTTTCAAGGTATGGAATTCCATAGCTGAAATTAGGAAATAAATCGCATATTACTACAAACCCCATATAAATAAATCGCAAGCCCTTAAACCTCAATACCCCACATCTTATAGTTCAATAAATAAGTTGAGTATATACACTGCAAACTCTTAAACCTTAATACCCCACGAGTAATGCGAACAAATTTGAAAATCGCGCCACCATTTTCCATACCTCAGATTTTTACAAAGTGACACGCCTGTTTAAGTATGTTTTACTTTCCAAGTTTATCTAGATGGGTTTCATCCCAGACAATATCATATTGTTTTCTTCTATTCCTACAAGTACCCCTACGTTTTAAAGAGCCCTGATAGATCGCGAGATGAGCACTTACGTTAACATTTCACTTACGCAAACAAGCCGAATTCGATCCCCGCCAGCACTGATGTAATTTTAAATGCTGATAAATGAGTGTTCGACGATTACATTATGAGTAAACTTGTATGTCTGACTTATTAATAAAAAATCGAGAACATGTAAAGTCAGCTAACACGTATAAAGACAGTAGTAGGGAATAGACCCCTACTACAAAAAACCTCTCAGAAATTAGTACGATTATTATTATTGATTATTATTTTTATTTTTATTGTTATTTCGACTTGTATAATATAATAATAATGTCCTCCAGACCGAAAATCGGTCACGGCGGCCAGACTCAACGAAGGGTAGCCATCTGCGCAGGACAGGATTTTAGTTCCTGAGTGTATGCGCAAGCACAAGTCCTCTCTCTATTCCCTCACTATCATAGTCCGATGGTAAACTTACACGACCGGAGAGAGATCAGGCGCAGGACCAACGGCTTTACGTGCTTTCCTAGACACGGGGGTGAAGAAACACCACCATATTCCTGACTTCAGGCTACTACTGAGAATTGCTTGATAGAAAACTCTAACTTATATTTTTTTTGACCCATCCAATAATTCCAACCCGAGACATCATGATCAGCAGTTGCGTTTACGACCACTAGATCAACAAAGCAGTCAAAGTCTTCATATAACAATGATACTTATTTATATTCTATGAATGTTCATTTCAGTTCTTCGTTCTCATCTCTCTGGCCGTCGCAGCCACAGCCCTACCGGTCGTCCCACTTGCCAAAGTGGCCTACGCTGAACCCGAGGCGCCCGCACACTACGAATTCCAATACTCCGTCCACGACGAACACAGCGGCGACATCAAACAACAACATGAAGCCCGCGCTGGAGATGCCCTTCAGGGCTCCTACTCCTTAGTACAGCCCGATGGTGTACACCGTATTGTAGACTACACTGCCGACGAGGAGCACGGTTTCAACGCCATAGTTCGTTATGAAGGACACCCCTCTGCAGCGCCCGCCAAGATCGCTTATGCTTCAGCCCCCGTTGCATACGCAGCGCCAAAGTTCGCATACGCCCCCGCCGCCAAGGTCGCCTATGCCGCCCCCGTAGCCAAGGTCGCCTACTCCTCTCCTCTTACCCAAGTTACCTTCTCCTCTCCGGCTATCTCCTACCATCACTAGACTATAGAATAATTGTTATATATAATTGTTGAAGTTGACCTATTTATTGGTACGAAGTAACTAATAAATTATTTTTTGAAATTTTCTCATTGTTTATTATTTAAAAACTATATAAAAATCTCTCTGTTTAAAGTAACGAATCGATTTTATTGCCTAAATACAAATACATATTAGGTCTAAGTATATGTGTTATAAATGTTATTACTGAACAGATCCTCCGGTCAATTTTAATATTTTTTCTTAGGTCTTTCTTAATCAAAAAATGTACATAAAACTATATAGGTATAATGATAGCTTGGGATGTAGTCCTGCATTTTCAACTACTTAAGAGTTTTTCATATTGTCGCAGAGCTAGTGACAGCAAAGAAAACCCATTGTAAATTCTATACGTTACTCTGGTGCTACTGCGGATATCCTCATTTCTATGTATAAGTATGATAAGGCACGATATGGTTCTTAGTTTCCGTAGTATTCTGTCCAATCACGACCGTTACGACGTCATATTACTAAAATGTATTGTCAACTGCGCATCACAGAACACTAATACCCTTAGGCGGCTGCTCATGGCATGCTATAGTGTCTTCACTCTACATCCATAGCTAAAGAAGTAATCATTCTAAACTTCTTGTATCCGTATGAGATAAGTTCGAAAGAAAAATGCACTTTCAAAATATAAAATGTATTATATTTAATTTATATTTAATTATAGAAAATATAGTTTGTTTTTTCAAATATTTTAAAAGATTAATATTTTTAACGCTCCCGCACTGTCTTTTGTGGGTGGGATTTCATAAAATCCGTTCTAGGTAATTTTTAACATGCCAAAAAGAATATTCTGGCCAAGTTTTATACCTATAAGAGCTATAGTTTAAAAATGTGATTTTAAGGCCCCCGCAACCTCCCTTGCGGGTGGAATTTCATAAAATCCGTTCTTAGCTGACCTCTACTCGGCGAAAGGAATATTTCTACCAAATTTCATGTATCTAGGCCTTATTGTTCCAGAGATATCGTGATGAGTCAGTACATAGGTGGAAATCTCTTATATATGTAAGTATATAGAAAAAGAGAAATAATCACAACGGTTCTGCGTTAGTATCGCTAACCGTACGATTTCATGTGCTAGGTTTAAAGACACACAAATAATTCAAACGAAACGTCACTGCACTGCAGATCTGATACGATAACAAAACTTCATCGTGTTATATATTTTCAACTTTATGTCAATGTCCAGCGGTGGGTGTGAAAGGGGGCAGGGTGGGGTTTGGACCGCACTTGAATTATTCATAGGCCGCATAGTGATTTCATCTCATTGAATCGAGCTAGTAGCAGCGCCGTGATTACGACAACGATACCTCCGACTACCCGCAGTATGTAAGCCGCGGCTTTACAATAAGCCGAACATATTATTCTATACTATATCTACTAGAATAGAATAGAATAATTTTTATTCAATATTTATTACACGTAATTCTTATTGAAAGTTTTTTTTTTACTTTACCATATACTTACTATTATTAGAACTAAATTCTAACAAAATTCTTTATTTGATAACCACTAGAATAAAAAAAACAGTTTCTTAATTCATATCAATCATGAAGTCAATCATAGATGAAGTTTTTTTTTTAATTATCTTTCTAATTTCGTAGTGTTGCAAAAGGATAGTGCAACCCTAAGATAACCGCGTTAACTTAAACGTTAGCTAAATAATTTTTGGCATCTTTAAATGGACCTTAATTCCCAATTTGAAATCAATATGTGTTTCATAATAAAAAAAAATGCTAATAAAGGCCAAATGGCCCAATTTGTAAATGTGAAATATGAAAATATGCAAGCATTATTAAAATTACACATACTCAAAAACCATAAACAAGAAAAACAAAAAAAAACTAAAATCAAAACAAAGGTAAAATTTGCAGAACGAAATGCTCGCACCTATTTCAAAACCATTTCAACTTGGCAATGCGTTTATTCTCTCTTCACAGGTAAAAATTGAAAGAGATTGCTTTTTATCAGTGCAGTGGCGGGAAATTGAATGTAAAGTTGATTTCCCGGCGGGCCTCGCCGCATAATTCCCCACAAATTAAGCCGATACCAATTGATTTGCTACTGATAAATATTTTGTAAAATGCTTTCCATTATATGATGTCATGTTTTGTTTGACGACACCGCGCCAGATCAATAAAATATATATCGACCTATAAATATTATTTTATTGCTTTTATAACAAGTAACTTAAGACGCTTTAATATTAGGCTCAAGTAAAAAGTAAATGTCTAAAGGAGAACGCACAACTAACGCGCTATAATCGCCGCTGCGCATCAATCATCAAATAGGATTGATTTTCCGTAGATCTACGGAATTTTGTCATGATCTACGGAATTTTGTCATCATCTACGGAACTACGGAATTCGAGGTTGAAATCTACGTAATTTTTAAAAACATAACAACAAAAACATTTTTTATCATGAGTGTGAACTTAGCCGACAATGTCATTCTCTCTGTCTTCTCATATCCTGTCTCAAATTTTAGATCATCAGCAAACAGTAATGAAGTACAAAAATTTACTACATTGGGCAAATCATTTATCATTAAAATGAACAGCAAAGGCCCTAGATTGCTGCCTTGACTAACACCAGATCTAGTAGGGTAGGGTCGAGAGAAGTGCCCATTGCAATCAACAAACTGCTGCCGGTCTCGCATGTAACTGGTGAAAAATGATAGCATGCGAGGTGTGCAGGCCACACAAGCCAACTTACAAAGTAGAACATCATTGTCGACCGTATCGAAAGCCTTTCTAAAGTCGAAGTAGGCTACGTCTACTTGCAGGCCAGCATCAACCGCGGGTACTAGATGCGTCACAGCTCCAGTAAGTTCCCAGTTGTCCCCCGCAATATATAGAGTATATAATTAGAATATCGACACTTAACTTACGTAGTAACATTATTTAATCTGTGACTTAACGACATCGATCACTAATAATAAACTGAAGTTAATGTCTACATTCTACAACATATGTAAATAATTAAGAATAATCTTTTTAATAATGATTTCTTATATTTACGCGATCACTACACATTGAATAAAACTATTTTTAATACGTTTAATTTACTTGTTAACCCCCGACGCAAAAGAGGGGTGTTTATACGCAAAAATGGTGTCTGTGGCACCGTAGCTCTTAAAACGGATGAACCGATTTGGTTGCGGTTTTTCTTATTTAAAAGCAGGTTTTCTAGCAGTGGTTCTTAAACATGTTTTATCAAAATCGGTGATTTTCCGTCACTACATTTTTATTTGGGTTATATTTTTTAAAATACGTTTAACAAATTGCACAAACATCAGCCCCGAAACAATTATTTGTAGGTCATGCAAATACTTGACAAAATCCTTAACTGTGCTTTGTGGTAACTGCAATAAAGAATCCACTCCTTTTCCTCCAGTAGGTGTTGTTAGAGGTAATAATGGGAATTGTCAGAATGATCTCATGGCCTTCGGCAAATGAATGATAAAATCACAAACCGTCCTGCGATCGCCAATCCAAGCGTAGGTATATGGCAAAAAAGGAGGCCCTTACAGAGTCCAGTAGTAGGCTTTTACAAGCTCATGATTAAAGAGAAAACTATACACATACTTGTTAGGTACCAAAGCACCGGCCCGCAGCGAAGCCGGTTATGAAATAAGTGCAGATAATTATTTATATAACGTTACACATTTTTTCAAAAACATTTCACCTTTAAATACCTACTTAAATTACATTAATCAATACAAAAAAGGCAAGACAGGGCTGATCGAAATTCGACATGCTACATGAATTTAGTTTTAAAAAGTAGAAACCAGATTCCAAATATAAGGAGGTCACTGGCATCGAGATCTCACTCTTTATTTTAAAAGACGAATTATTTAGGTGTCATACCTTGTGTGTTAACATTGAAATATTATAATGTAATTTAGTACACAGTGTGTTAAGCAATTCAATAACCAGACAATAAGTAGCAATATAATAATATTACTACGCAAATTTTCTCTTAATTCAAATTAACAAATTTTGTATTTATCAAATTCTTTCGTTTTCGTCTACTAAAATCATTTTTTATAGGATAAAGATGACAAACGAACACACAGTCCACCTGATCGTAAGTAATAGCTGTGGCTCATCATAGACATCTACATCTATCCTCGATTACGAATCAAAATGCAAATGCGTTGTCACCCGTGATGACTAAGATGGAATGGCTCGTTTCCAGTAAAAATGGTCTCCGGTTCTCTACACTCACCATACAAAACACAGCAGCGTTAAGCTGCTATTTTACGCTGGTATTCTGTGAGAGCGTAGTCCTTCCCCGGTAGAGCCGACCCATTCGTGCTACAACTATACTTCTGATCTGTCTTACCAGGTCGTCAATCCATCTAGTGGGAAATGGTCCTACACTTCGCCTACCGGTACGAAGCTGCCACTCGAGAACCTTTTATCCCCATCGGGTCTTCGAGCTATATGGCCAGCCCATTGCCGCTTCAGCTAACTAATCCCTTGGGCTATGTCGGTCACTCTGTTTCTACTGAAATAATGTCAAATGTCTGTTATGCCTAATTTGTGTTGACGTCACTGATAATTTGGAACTAGAACCGCAGTAGTCTGTCTCCTCCACTGTGTACCCTGGGAACGAATCTCTGCCCACAATTTGTCAACCAAACTGGAATAATCCGTACTCCTTTAAGCCCGACTTGCTTCTATAACACTGCATCGTAATCATCTCCGATTTTATTGCTTGAGCGTTACTTCAGGCAAGAGTATACTATGAGCTAAAACACAAAGTATATAATTAATAGAATCAGGCGTTACTTTACGGAAATTCTTTATATTAAAGTTGGAAAAATTTATTTTGAAAATATCCGTTCAATAAAATAAAATGATGTATCTTACCTAGTTTGAAGAGCACCTCCCGCCCTCCCTCAATTGCGTGCACTATCACCGTCACCACTAATCCCAGCACCACTACTCTCAC